CCTAGGTATATATAGCGCTTCCGTTCTCTCTCTCTCTCTCTCTCTCTCTCTCTCTTTCTCTCTCCCTCTCTATCTCTCCCCCACCCTCTCTCACTCTCTCACACACTCTCTCCCTCTCTCTCTCTCACACGATCTCTCTCCCTCTCTGTACGTCTTCCCCTCCTCCTCGCTGTACCAATGCCCCCCTCTCTCCCATCTCCGTGTACTTCTCCCCCTTGTCCCTCCTGTCCCCTCTCTCTTACTCGCTCTCTGTCTCTCTCTGTACGTGGCCCCATCGCAGCGCTGGACGTCCTTGCGGCGGATTCGGCGTGAGGGCTTTCACCTCTTGCACAAAGGCCGCGCCCCGCGCTGCACCACGGGCCTTCGCGGCGCCAGGTCGGGAGCGGGAGGCTCTCTGCACGAAGCCACCTCCCACGGCCTCTTCCGCTTCCAACAGGGCTAACTAGCGAAGGGACACGTGCGCTCCTGTCCCTTCCATTTGTACTCGTCCGGGATGAAGGCGCGCATCCACCAAGTATTTCTTCGCACCCCTGTAAATAACATAATACTATTAATATTGATATAAATAAAAAGTAGAAATTTTTAAATGTTACTTTTAAATGAAAATGTTTATGCGATTATTGTGGTAATGGTTTTGACTAAATCGAGTAACAAAATAATGGCCCCAATCCGGGAATGAAGCCGTGTCGAACGAAATTCGACGAGTTTTACACGTGTGCGCTGTATGCACGCACATGTACACGTACGCTACTAGTAGCCAGGTCGTCTGGCGCGCAAGGCAGGAAAAGATGTGCCCTTCCCGAACACGTAGTGTAATTTTGGGGTGTACTTTACGTGGCGCACTTACGTCATTTTCAAAAAAAATGGCTCCTATTGTGATTAAATTTTGTTGTTGACCAGTGTTTCTTGCACCATGGCGCAGACAAAAGCCACCCGCACCCGAGCAATGACGAGCAACTAGGGGAGGCGCTGCCAGACTTCGGTTGAGAAACCTATACGCAGTAAAACCGGTCGGACAGAACCACACAGACTGTTTATGCGTCCATACGCTGCCCATAACATATGCTTTCGTATCCCATACTCGACCTAGCAGATTGTCGACAGATTTTTTATTTAAAAAGAAATTTAAATATGCTTAAATGAGTCTGTTTAAGATAAGCAGATAAAAGAAATGGAACCCTTTTTCAAATAGTCTTATTCTCATGTACGTCGATCTGTCAATGGAAGTTTTTTTGTAACTAGCAAATGAATTTTGTTCATATGGAAATTGTACCCAAATATTCTACAGTGGATCATCCAGTATTTGTCGCCCAGTTAAATCGGAATCCAAATCTCCTGGGTGGATGGTATACGGTAGTGAGTGTGAGTGGAACAGAATTTGATATTACGCAAATTACATCTGAGATCCAGTAAACATTCTCTTTTTACTTTACTTATTCGCTATTGTTTACGCAGTAGAGAGAAATTTATGTAATGGAGGGCGACAAAGCGGCTAATTTTTTGCAGAAAAACTGTTATTACAGAGCCTTGGTAACGAAAACGTGAATAAATCCAGTTGCTTAATTTAGGGAGAAAATCCCCGAACACGTAGTGTAATTTTGGGGTGTACTTTACATGGCGCACTTACGTCATTTTCAAAAAAATGACTCCTATTGTGATTAAATTTTGTTGTTGAATAGTGTGAAGGACGTTTAAGAGAATGGTGCAGGTCTCATTTTCGTTAACTACTGTAATTTTTCGAGAATTTCAAAAATTAAAAATTCTTTCTGTTTTTTCTACAACTACAATTATTAAGATAGAGATCTTTCTCTCAATGAAATGTGTTCTTTAAGGATAGATTTTGAAATAGGGTCACGTACAATTATTTGAAAATTTGAGGTACTTTTCGAGTATCTTTACGGGAAAGTACGGGTGAGAATGTACCAGCTGTTTTAGCACCACTCGTTTGAAACGTCATACTCCTGAAATAAATGCTCGAACTACTTTTTTGAATTATTTGGTTTTCAAGAAAATTGTCCATAATTTCAAAACCTGTTAACGGATTTAACGTCATTTAAGACATTGCATATTAATTAAACCTGAAATTAACACATTCGAAACGCTAAACATTTTTCTCTGTAAACCCGAGTTAATTTTCTGTAGTTTTCCTTGCATGTCTTTACTTCGAATAATGGAGGCTGTACTGTATCAATACTATTCAAAAAGGAATTAAGGTTGTGAGTTACCTAACTTGTCAATGTATTGAATTATGCTCCGTTGTATTGGGTTCTGAATATAGATTTAATAAATGCGACTCATGAAATACCGAATTTGAATTACATTGTATGTATGGGCGATTGTTTGGGAGACTGATTTTCGATTAAAAGTTTAATTGTTTCAGGAAATGCGCGCAAATGAGAGCACTATTAGGGCATAATCCCTCATGTCAAATACATAGGATAGTTAATGACGTAAGAAATGAGAATACTGAAACACTAGATACAAATTAATTGAGTATTACAGTCGTTTTTCGATGTTTCTTCTTCAGAGACATGAACACTGCTCCCGGCTGGTTTACATCATTCACGTTTTGAAGACTGAACAAAAGACTAGTCCGTGGACATTGTGCGATGAAACAAAGCACTAATCAGCTGTTTGTCTGACGTCACGCGTGTATCTACGTGGAATTTCGTGGCGTCGTCCGATTGTATTCATGCGCTATTGACATTGTTATCAGACGATAGGAAATTAAAAGTACGTGTTTCTCTTGTCGAAACGTGATAACACAGGCTTTAATGGTAGTTTTGTCGTACCTGCAGTCCTTTCTGTAACTATAAAAATCATACGTCTGAACATTTCTTGCATATGAGTTAATACTTTTATACTCGTAGTATAAGCATAACTATGCGTGCGTGCGTGCGTGCGTGCGTGCGTGTGTGCGTGCGTCCGTCCGTCCGTCCGTCCGTCCGTCCGTCCATCACTGTTATACCACTTTCCGACCGCTAATCGAGATATACGAGACATTTGACACGTTTCGGCCTCTTGGTGGGGTACTAATAATTTATTTTCAGATCCGGCAAGATTGTAAGAAATTTCTGAAAATGTTTTTTTGACGCTGCGATCTTAGTGGATGCATCGGGAATTAACCAACTCCCCTTAAACGGATTTATGTAGGTTGCGTTGAGGCAATTCACCCCCCCCCTCCCCACGTCATAATTTTCTTTCTCGAGGTTGGCAAAACTGGTTATTGCAATTATCTGAAGTTAAACAAGTGAATCGCGCGGCAGATTTCATTTCCATCTGCATTACCGTATTAAAAAAAAAAAAATTACAAAACCCACGAATATTATTGCCCTGGTACGTAATAAATTTGAAGGACTTCAGGTCAATACTAAGAAAACCAAACTGTGAGTAATGCTAGAGGTTGAAAGCACATTTACTTTCTTACTTTCGACATTCACATTTACACTATTAAGCGTACAAATACAGATTGCAAAATGAATGTGACTAACAACTTATTCTTATTAAATTTAACTAACAACTAATTCACATAAACATACATAAGTCTCATTTTATTGTTTATATAGATTCGCCCTCCGAACGATAAATATAGCAATTGCAGAAGTAGAGGTGAACACAAATTTTGCGACAGAATTTTCGGAACTAATTGACGATCTTACCAGAGAATAACGCTGAAGAACAGCTTACATGTGATTTTTTATTGGCTTTTTGGTGCATATTAGGAACAAATGTACAAAATGTAACTACTAAATTCTAACTATTCCCATAATTCATACCTGCTAGCATTTTTTTTACGGCGATTACAATTTTGAAATTGTAGTATTCCGAGTCCATATCCCGTATGGAGGTAACTAAAAGAAGGCCAATGGGTTTTGGGGATTTTTGAACGGGAGCATAACATGAGCTACTACGATTCATTGGTTAGTCCAATGCCAGAACTTCTTTGAACAAAGCTATGCATGACATTTCAACATTTTCAACATACGAAAATTCTTGTAAAACAATTAACAGGATCGGCGACGCCACATTCAATTAGTTTACAAAATATTTTTTAGATTTTTTAGCCATAAAGTCAGTCTCCTTATTCAATTTCTACTTCCGCTTAGGCCTATGTCCTGGTCTTAACTAGATCACCCTTCCTTCTACTTGGTTTTCTAGGGCTTCGCTGTCCACCTGGAATGTGGTCTCTGGTTATATTTTTTCAACTCGTTCCACTCTGGAGATACGCTTTCGTTTTTACAATTTTATTCCTTCTTCATTCAGTCTGATAAGTATGCTTTCAATGCTGCTTCGTTTTCTGATGAAGTTGTATCTAACTTTTGTTATGTCCAAAGAGGCTTTCGAAGCTTAAAAGGAACCGAATTTTGGGAAATAACACGATAATCGTTGTTTGTGATTTTCCCATTTATATTCGTTCGTGATAAGTTGTAATAGCAGGCATTATTTAATTAGATGTATTAATATTTCATGCAAAAAGGAAACATTCGTAATATACAATGAAATTCTGCTTTGCGCATTGCGACATGTACCGATATTGAAATGTGTGGAGAATGTTTAGTGCTATCTTCTCAAAGTTTCCCTTAGTAATAATAGAAATAATTTTAAACATCTCAAATGTTCAATGAATCGTATTTTGAAATAATTTTCTAGCAAATCGTCGCACATTAAGACCAGCTAATCATTTCATTCTCTGAGCACAGGCATTTTTTGCATTGTGTACTTTCGAACGACGTTATGTAATAAAGACATAATATGTAATAATGTAAAATAATAATGTAATAATGACAATTCACTTGTTAAATGACCTGTTAATTCCTGTTAAACGGATGACACTTTTGAAAACGTGAGTCAGCTTCCGATCCTGTAAAGTGAATATGCTTAAGAAAACAAATAAAAGCGCTGGATAAACAGATCCCAGCACTTCCAGCCATCTTTCGCTCGTGAATTATCTATCCTTGTAAATATGGATCACGTCAATAAATTTAAATTTGATATTCCAGATTATCAACTTGCCACCATTTTTTTGCCATCAACTTTTGTATCCAGAAATAACATTGGTCTTCGTATTTTTGAACTTGTATTTGTAAAAGAACTTGTACTAAAGTTTTACTCTCATTTCAATACTGTTTCAAGTTTTTTTCCCCATGTGTTATGTGAATATTTACCAGGAATTTTAAACAGGTGTCTTAGGATATAGGTTACAAACTTCTAGGGTATGTAGAGGGATCGAGGAACATCACTTATCGATGAACATTAGTGGGAAATTTCACATAACGGTGTTACACATGTGGTATTTGGCTCTGATTGCTAGGCAACCCCCTGTGCAGAGATGTTCGACAGGTTGAAGAAATCTCCTTCCCTGCTTAGCACGTGACTTCCCGAGCACGTTTGTACAAGTAGTTGCCCGACAATTAGAAGCGTAGTATGTGATATCTGCAACTTTGTGATATTAAATTTTGTACTTCATATTTATTGGCAAAAGATAATCAATTTCGACACTTCTACATGCTCTACTGTATTTTCGTTTATTATTCTGCGACTCATGTGCACACGGAAATCGAGTGTATCTTTATGAGGTGATTTGCCCTGAAATTGAATTAAAGTTCTTATCCGAGTAGTTGGTCAACAAATAGAAATGAAATTTGGATGATGGTGTGAGTCAGTGCGATAGCTTATCGCTTGTGTACTCGTATGTAGATAAGCGCGCGGCGTGAATGCTTTTAGATGCTCACTCGCTTATAAAATACGAGTTTCCTCTCTGTTTGATCTTTCTCGCCCTCTGTCCAATGCTTTGTCGAAAGTCTGCCTTCCACAGTACTTCGGCATTCGCCTGCAATTGTCAGGAAGTGTTTCATATCGCTTTCTATCGAGTTGTAGTGCTTTTTAGTATAATTTGTATTGGAATTTGAGAACTGAAATTGCCGCTCGATGTGATGTTGCCAAGGACAACCAAATAAATACAAGCACTGGAAAGAAGCGCAGCTGGGAATGAAGATAAATTACACTTTGCGGATATCGCTTTCTGCGTACGGCCTGATTTACTGGAGTTAAAGAGGTTATTTTCTAAGTGACGTACCTCCATGTCCATATGTTTTCTGTTTTTTACGTATCAGTGTATTCTAGAGAGGTTCTGCATCACGCTGCCAAATATTGTGTTCAAAAATTCCGTTTCCCCTGTGTTTAATAGTACCTGAAATCATTGAATCCTATCGTTAACTGTAAGGCTGAATATAAATAATATCCCTTTAAAAAAAAAAAAGTGTTAAATGGAGGTACATGTCACTGTGGAAATAAGCTCCAGGGGCCTGCATTGCTCTATCCGAAACAGCGCCATGCCTTTAACACTTTGCAAAATAAATACACAAAAGTTAAAAAGAAAAGAGCTACGTAATTTCATAATTGGTTTTGTAATTTACAGGGCACCTAAAACACTAAAAATGTATACTGAATTAGTGACAATCAAATGCATTGAAACTAAGTAATGCGGTTTTGTAGTTATTAATGAACACGGCTTACTCCATTTCTGCGCACATACTGAACCGATGCTCCGTCCGTGCCAGCTGCGCGCCCTGCCAGCTGTCGGGTCGCGCAGGAGAAGGCGTGGAGCAATGAACGCCATATCCTGCGGCTCGGCGCTTGGCCGCTTGGACCTTGGCTTACTTCGTGGCTGGCTTCAAGGGGCTCCGAAGTGCATTTGGCAGAGGCTCCTCCGTCGGCCCCCCTCGGACTTAATGGATTCATTTGGGGACGCTAGCCTCACGGCCCGGTTGACTCTCTTACGGGACTGACGATAATAAGTTGGATCACGTCGTTGAAAATTAACATAGTCGTTTGTGCTCGTTATACAACATAAAGCCGTAGTAAGTAAATGTTTTATGGCCGGAAGTTCCGGGAGATGAAATGTTTTAGCGACAACTTGATGCAGTTGCTTCCATGCAGATGTAACGTTATATATTCTGCCGGCGTTTCCAGTTCTCCTTGAAAGGTGCTGACTATTTTACAAACCTGCGCACGTATCGAAAGTGTTCCTGAAACCTCAAATGGCGCGTGCAATTCTTCGGTACTTCTCAGAAGCGATTAATTGTGTGTACAATTGTGGGCAGAAACCGTGCTTCATGGCTGTGAGAAACTGTTCCAAAGTATTCCAAGCATAATTATTTTTTGTGATCGTTCTGCGAGGTGTTCCAGTATTCGTCGGCGTAGCTTGAGGGGAGACGAAGTGACTCTATATACCCACTAAATGAATACGCGACAGAAGATTAATGGCATTTAGCATATTTTTTCTATACAGTAATTTCGTCGTTTCCGTATTTGTTTCTTGTGTGGAAAGCGAAAGTGATTGCGACCATCGCGAAGCCAACAACGAGACGAGAAACACACTAGCAGGCAGATCCCGGTCTATTTCCCCATGAGAAAATACAGCGCGCATCGCAGTGAAGTCGACTAATGAAGACTTAAGACCATGTGGGGGACGTCCTTGTCGGCACAAGATACATCACTTCAACCGCTGAGATGGAAGTCTTTCTCGTTCGGGGCGTTTTAGTATGCGGTGCCTACATGAGTGTCGCGCCGGAGTGTTCGAAGTGTGTCAGCTTTTTTAATAATACGCTTTGAGAATAATTGCTCTTATAAATGGTTAGGCTGTTCGATGTTCTAACTACGGGGAAACTAAAATATAAGTTTATCCCTTGAAAAACTCTAACCTTGATGCTGCTGTCTCCCCATTTGATTGTGACGTTACGCCTCTGACCCGCATCCAAACTCCCAGAGCAGCGGATGAATTATTTGATAATTTATTTCCGAGTGAGTCAAGTACTATGGTCATGAGTATTGTAGATGTAAACGCGTGTTATTTTGCGATTGTCAATGTTTCTCCTTCTGAGATTCTGCGAGGTCTTTACACGTCCGCTTGCGGGGGTTTCCCGCATTCCTGGTATCTCCGTCTCCGGTACACCGTCCCAGCCGAGGAAGCTGGAAGCTTCCGACTGCTCTCTTATCATGCATTATGTGAATAGTCGTGTGGTTCGTATTGCTGTGTTCGATGGTTCGAGAGTTCGCGTGGTGTTCGAACATGTGTGGTTCGTTCTGCGATGCATGTAAATAGAAATGTGTGTGAGCGGAGAGTGGAGGACAAGGATGAGGAAGGAACGATCTTGCATGGTCCATTGCCCGTTTTTTAAGATCCAGCTCTGGCGTTCGCTGTACTGATAGGAGAAGCCCCGATCAGAGCAGCCGACCGCCAGAATTCTCCTCCAGATAGCCGCTGACATCGACCTTTTAGCTAGAATCCAAAATCCACCATCGTTTGGACTCGAACCCTAGGAACTCCAGACCAGAAGCACTCCAGTGCGAAACAGTTCTAGCCCTGAAACATCTCTGCGAGCCAGTGCAGCGGAGAAAGTGGCTGGTTAGAGGGAGCGAAGGAGGGTAGGTGGGTGGGAGAACGCCCTCTCCAATGAGCAGGTGTCGCTCGTCGTGCGCGCGTCGAGGGGCGTGAGGCTGGCGGCGCGCGCGGAATCGCAAGAGGCGGTGGCGGCGGCGGCGGCTGAGGTGGCGTTGCGCCTGGTTGCGTCACGCGCTGCGGCCCCGTAGCCTTGGCGCAGCTGCAGCGCGCTGACCTCCTGCCCCGTCCCGTTCGCTGCGCCCCTCGCGCCGCCGCCGCCGCCGCCGCCGCCGCCGCCGCCGCCGCCGCCGCCGCGCAGCACCGGCTCGGCTAACGGGCCGTCGAGTCGAGACTGCAATGAGAAGCGCACTCGCGGAGCATGGGCTGGCAATGCGCGCCGCACTGCCGCGATCAATCATTGGAACTTCATTTCTAAGTTTCTAGCGATCAATAAATTTGGCGATGTTAAATAAAAAAAGGTACTAGATTCCTTTATGGACTGATAATATCTAGTATGCAGTGAAAAAAAATTGTACAGAAAAACTTGTATTTACCATTTAAAAAATTCATCAATGTCATGTTTTCGTAATATATACTAATACTCTGTAAACTTCCCGTTTATTCGATATTTCGTATACACATTTTCATTGGGTTAATATAATCTTGTATGCGAGTTTAATGTCTGGTTCTCCTAAATACGGCACGCTTAAAGATTTTCGTAAGCTATTTCCATTTTTTATTAATGACATTACCTGGATCAATGATTGTACGAGTATAATTATGTTGCGTGCATCTGGATGAGAATCTAAAGGACGTATTTATAATAATATTCGCGTGGTTTTGAACCGGTACATCATGGCGTTGTAAACCCTGGCAAAAGCGTATGTTGGCCCGTGCACAGAGGAGGAAAAATCGTGTGTTAAAAAAACCAACAAAAAAACTTCGTGTACTCGTAAAGAGCTTGCCCTGAACACATCCGCACGCGCGCAATCCCCATAAACGAAAGTGCACGCGCGGAGCCTTTCCACCACAACCGCAGCGGCCGCCGCGCGCCCTCGCGTCGACACAAAGGGGCTGGCACCGCGCCGCGCCGCGCCGCACCGCACCGCACCGCACCTCACCGCGCAGCGCTCAGGCAGCGGGCGCTGGGGGTCGCCCTGGGTGGTGTGCCCTTGACCCAATGCGGCAGCAGCCGGGCCATTCAAAAAAGGAGCCGATAATAGGTAATCGATACACTGATTGAATGCTTTTGAATATCAAAGGTTTTCGGGTTCATTTTGGATATGTCATTTGGTCGTCAAGATTAATGACCAAAAACAATTAGAGTCCAGTCTCTTGTAGAGTTTGAATATTACGCAAAATTACTTTAGTACCCAGCAGTAGAATCGAAATCAAATTCGTACGAGCTATTTGTGCAGGATCACGCCAAATGAAACTTCCCCACACAGGGTCTTTAGGCTGCCGGGATGTTTTTTTCGCGGTTGAAGACCCACTATAATGGAATTTATTTAACCGTGCACATGTCGTAAATCAGCTGATCACGGTTTTATCCAATCTGGAGCTTGATCGTCCCCATAGTGACGTCACTGTAGCGACATATAAGCTGACGATTGGTTGAAACCGGAACAGCTGATTTAAGTCAAGTGCCCGACTCAGTAAGTCGTACTCTAAACTCCTTGATAATTAAACAAACTGTTTGTCGAATGTTGAAA